GAGATGCAGTCCCATGGTAGCCGGTGACCAACGATTGGTTCATACGCATTTGTTCCTTCAGGATACTGGAGCCCATGTGCACCATTGGTTTGGGGTCCGGTTAAAGCGCCAGACATTCGCTTTTCGTCCTCTCATTTTTGTAAACAACACCCCCGCCACGAGAAGGCAGTGAGTAGGACTTCCCTGGCAGAGGCTATGTACGCATGGCCATGTGAGAGCATTTCGAGAGGGAGAGCGGACTCTCCCCACTCTCGGCCGTACCAGGGCATTTGGGGGCATAGGTATAGAAGCATAGACAAGTTTCTAATTTGTTGAATATGACTTGCTTTTCTTTAGCAACACAGTTTTCGATTCTCCTGTTTCATTTTTTTCATTTTTAATCGTATTTTTCTCATATTTCGACTTCTAACGTAATTTTTTTTGTGTGCTCTTTGCTAATTTACATCTAATTAATTTCCTCTTCTCTTCTTGTACTGATGTGAGATGTAGGAATTAAGACCATTGATACATATTTGCGCTGTGCTTTTTTTGTGTTTTTGTTGATAGATTTAAATTAAAAAGTAAAATATATTTAAAAATTTTTCCTTCCCGAAATTAGCTTCATAAATCAAGTAATTCTTATCGATATTGGTCAAGAAATGGTTTAGAATGGACAGCAAGCTACGGTGAAGATGGTACTCGAGATTTTGACAGATTATCTGCTCAATTACATTGTGGATTTGCACAGCATGTAACTGATTGCATACTAGATGGAGAAATGATGATATTTAGTAATTGGTCAAAGTCAATGATGTCAAAATCAACAAAATTCGATGTAAAACGAAGTTCTTATCAAAATCCAGAAATCGATAATTATCAACCGTGTTTCATTGTTTTCGATATACTTTATTTGAATTCACAAGTATGTTTATCATATGCATATCATATTAATGGTAATAATGCCAATGCTTCAAACTGATTTAAAATTTGTAGTAAATTAGCGGGTAGTTTGCACTAATAGTACATAACTTTTTCATAGTCATGTGCAACTTTATTTATTTTTAATCCATGAGCATATGTGAAACAACTTTATACCTAGGGGAAAGGTGTTTGAAATTATCACTGTGACTTAAGTTTCCTTCAGTTGTGCTCAAGGCGATACACATCTAAGCAATCTGTTAGTTCATAATCTACCATAAATTTATTGATGATATAGCTCTGTTGAATTATCATAACAACAGAAAAGCATAACCACTACATTAATATGCTATCAAATACAGTCAGATATGTTGCTTTTAATTCTATTGTATAGATTCGGAACACCTGTATAGAATGTTTTAGAAGCATTTCAAATATCCAGGGCTTTAAATCTTATTTTAGATATCATAAATAACATTCAGTGAGTTAAACATAAAAGTAAATATCATATATAGGGAAATCTACTAATTTATTGTTCATAAATAGTTGGAAGTTAAAAGTTTTGTCAACAATTATTTAGCTGGTTGTTAGTGACTATTTCAATGACAGACAACTCTGAATTTATTGGACAAAGAAAGAGGTGTGTGAACATTGTAGCACCGAATAGTTAAACAGACGTATTGCTACCATAAAGTCATTACTTTCAGTTAACTTATGGGATATCTATATGCTCACTCGATCCGTAAATTTATTGGTCACAGAGTTAGATTTACTTTATCCACTACAGTATAAGGAATCAGGTGATGTAATTCTTTACGTAATGAGAGGAAGCCGTGTTCTATTCCATGAATCTACAATCTGGAATTTTTAAATATCTTTTTTACATGGTATATTCGACTGGTGCAAATGATCATGCTTTACGGTGTTCTGACCTTCGAGAATTGTTATAGACTTGTATAATTTGAGTGTTTTGGTAATTTCCAACTCGATCATAGCTACCTTTTTGTTAACTACGATATATTTTTATTGGTACTAGGTATTGTTTACCCGTTTTACATGTTTAACAGTTTTTTTCAAACAGTTATTATTTGATAACTTTTTGTTACTCCCTCAAGTTATTGACTTCAAAGTCCTTACTGGAACGTAAACATCTTCTATCAGAGGCATTTAATTTGAATCCCACATCATTGGATACTGACTCGCTTATGGATAGCGATGAATCATTAGATTTCAAACCAATCTCTATTATAAATGGTATTATGTACGTTTCCAAATGGTATATTGCCTCAGCACATCAAACAGAAGTTGCAAGAGCTTTTAATCATCTTGTGAATAATCATCAAGAGGGTCTTGTAGTGAAAATAGCTGATTCTCCATCTCCTTATCTACCTGGTATTAGAACTGATGGTGGCTGGTGGAAAATTAAGCCAGATTATATACAGGGTTTATTAGAAGACTTAGATTGTCTAATTGTCGGTGGTTATTTTCATCATCGTGGGAATAAGATAATAACAAGAGTTAACCATTTTTTATGTGCTGTTCGGGGTAATGAATCCTATGAATCTACTTCTGAAGATAATTCCAATCTAACACGGTTTTATACATTTTGCAAGGTACGCTTTCCGTTTAAATTTTTAAGTTATTTAACACCTTATATAACGATTAGAGTATATTAGCTCCCATGTTTACTTTTCTTTGAGAATGCTCTAGAACCATCTAGTAGTTGATTTATTCAAATCACATAATTCAGGTTTAAGTATAGTGAGCAAATCGTTAACAATTCGGTTTGACTATATGTAATCGACTAAACTGTTATCATTACTCCTTATAATTGATTGCTATTATTCATTTGGGATCGGACAAAATTGTTCAAATGTTTAGGATGATTTAAAACCATCCACTTTTGAAAAGTCTTTTAGCTATATTTCATTTTATTAAGCCCTCTTTGAACTATTAACACTCATACATATACTGTTGTATACACCGCACAACAAGGAATATCTGTAAAAAAGTTTGTTTCATTATTTATGTAAATAACTTTTTCTTATGTGGACGCGTCCATGGTTTAATAAATGAGTTGATTCAAACCTCATGAAATAGGAATACAATTGTGAAAAACAAATCTGCAAATAAATAGTTAATTCAGTTCGTTGGAATTTCCACATTAATTAGAAATACCGTGTTTGTTTAGACTCTGTTCACATATATTATAAGCTTACGACGAGCCATCAGTAAATTCAACTGCCTATTTCAATATCGTTTAAGTTAAAATGGATATATAATACGATATTTAACCGTTAGTTTATATCTGACCCGCACGTAAATTTTTGTGTGAAGAATGTGGAAAGAAATGTATATAGTTTATGTGGTAGTAGTTTATTCAACTATCTTGAAAATCCGATAACAAGCCATTTTTGTTTGTAATTGTTAAAGAAGGGGTACCGATTACTGAGAGTCCTTGTGGTTGTGTTGTATTCAAGTCTACTAACGATTTTACTTAAATGTTGGTATTTATTTATTTATTTTATTTATTTGAACACATAAATATTGGTACAGGGGGGCACCAAATATATATGCGCCACATAAAACAATGATAATTTGAAGAGAAGGAGAAAAAAAGGTAATGAACGTGGGGAAATATAAAAAAAAGGGAGAGAGACAGAACAATGGTGGGGGAAACGGAAAGGTACAATCAGAAGAAATCTTTCAGTTAAAGAAGATACAACCACTTTTTATGAAGAAAGTAAAAGAAGATTACAGCAGGATCGCCACTGGCTTCTATTCTGAGCCATATCTGATAACGTCTTTAGCCACTGCGTTACACCGTCTCTCGTACCCCAGCCAGGGAGTCGTGAAGGACCAACAGAAGCTAGCCCTTTGCAGCTTTCTTTCATACCACGACACCATGTCATATACTGACCACCTCTTCGCTTTTTCCAACCAGTCCCAGAGTCGGCAAATAATGCACGACGTGGAATTGTCTGGACGACATTCGTAGGACATGTCCAAGCCACCGAAGTCGGTGTTTCAAGATGGTGACACCAATTGCATTATCGTCTCTGTGACCGAACACACGATGCCGAACTTCTGCATTACTAACATGGTGTTGCCACTGGATGCCAGCAATCCTTCGGAGACAACGATGATCAAACACAGAGAGTCGTCTAACATCCTCAACTCGGAGAGGCCAGGTTTCACAAGCATAGAGCAAAACTGCTCTCACCGACGCGTTGTAGATCCGACCTTTTACAGCCAGACTAACATCACGAAGGCGCCAAAGATGGCCCAGATTGGCATAAGCCGCTCTGGCTTTCACTATACGTGCATTGATCTCATCACTCACACCACCACCAGCACTTATGCAGCTACCCAGATACACGAACTTCTCGACCACTTCTATCTGCTCACTGTCCAGAGTGAGTGCAGGATTAGAATCCTGCCAGTCTTGTAGGAGTACTTTGCACTTCGAAGGTGCGAAGCACATACCATACCTACGGACATTGATTGCCAAGTGATTAAGTGCGGATTGCATAGCTTGGGCATTCTCACACAGTAAGACAATATCATCCACGTACTCAAGGTCGAGAAGTCTTTCTCCAGGCAACAGATCCACACTACCATTACTAACATCCGCCAGAGCTGTTTTCAGAAAGTCATCGATGGCAAAGTTGAAGAGGAATGGTGAGATTGGGCAACCCTTCCTAACTCCACTGCTTGAATGGAATAGTGGAGAAAGGTGGTTGTATGCCCTCACTCTGAGGTGTTTGTGTATAGGGCTTTTAGGATGTTAATAAACTTCTCAGGCACACCCTTCTTCAATAGACAATCCCAGAGAACAGTTCTGTCCAACGAATCGAAGGCAGCCCTGATATCAAGAAACACTATGATTGTTGGCCTTTGATAAGTATGGCGGTGTTCTAACATTTGGCGGAGGGTGAAGATATGATCAATACATCCGCGACCAGAACGAAACCCAGCCTGCTTCTCGCGAGTCAATCTTTCTCGGGTTTTGAACAACCTACGAAGTATAACGGAAGCCAATAGCTTGGACGCAATCGGAAGTAGACTTATCCCGCGATAGTTGTTACAGGAACCAAGTGAACCCTTTTTAAAGATAGGGACAACTATCGACTCATTCCATGAGTTTGGTACACTCTCTAGTTCCCAGACCTTTGTGAACAACGTCGTCAGTCCCTTAGTCAGAAAGTCACCATCATCTTTAAAAAGAGCCGGAGGTAAGTCATCTGGGCCCGGTGATTTGTAACGCTTCAAGAGTTAGAGTTCCTTGCGTACTTCCGCCTCATTTGGTGGATCAGTCGTCACCGGCCATGGAGGGCAGGACAGTCTGACCGATGTTGCCGGAGCAGCAGGCCAGTTGAACTGCTCTTCGAAAAATTCTGCCCATTGTCCAAGATGTCGATGGATGTTAGTGATTGGCGTTCCGTCATCCTCGCAGATTGTTTCGCTCACACCAGACTTCTTGCTGCCAGTGGCTCGGATGAGTTGGAAGAGCTTCCGGTAATTACCAGATGCAGCTGCTGCTTCCAGCTCATTAGCACGCTCCGACCACCAGGCTTCTGGGCCTTACGCAAGCTTTGCCCGATTTCATTACGTAACATCCTTCGTCTGTGGTCAAACTCACGGTCACCCGGAGTAGACAGACGGGCTTCAATGAGTTGTAAGGAACCAGAAGAAACCCAGTGCTTGTAAGCGGGACGTTTCGCGAACCCACAACAGACTGTACCCGCCATTTTCATGGCGTCATGCAATTGCAACCAATGCTCATCTATACTTTTCGGTGGAATGGTGGCTAGCCTAGAAGCTAGCTCGGTTCGGTACTTACTAGCAACAGAAGTTGCAGCTATCTTGCTAACATCAATCCTTTGGTGGCGGTCACTTCGTTGTCCACTGAAAAGTAAGGTAAGATTGGCGCAGACCAGAGCATGGTCAGATTCCAGATAGGTACTCGAATAGGAGCGGCAGTCTTGTACACAACCACGCCAGCGGTAGCTGATCGCGATGTGATCAATCTGAGTCCAGGCTTGAGATGCAGAAGGAGGACGCCAGGTGGCACATCGGCGATGACTGCCGAAAGTTAGTGCTAGCCAGAAACAGGTTGTGGTCTGTGCATAGTTGCAGTAGACGTTCCCCATTATCTGTCCTGCGACCAACAAGTCCCCATCGGCCACCTAAAAGACTCTCTTCTGTGCCTAGACGCCCGACCTGAGCATTCAAGTCTCCGGCTAGTACTACAATATCTGTCGAGCGCACTTTCTGGAGAAGAACAGTTAACTGGTGGTAGAACTCATCCTTGATTGCATCCGGGCTGCAATCTGTCGGGGCATAGGCGGAGATGACGAAAAGACATCGTTTCTGACGCCGATTTCTTCTCACTTTGATGGAACTTTCTAATCTAACAGCACATAACCGACTGTTAATGGGGATCCAGTCGATTAGTGCTGCCTCAGCTCTAGCGCTTAGTGCGACACCAACGCCAGCAAGACCAGACGAAGATGCCACAGGGTCCTCGGATAAACGCACGTAAAACAAGCTTTTTGAAGTGACAGATGGAGAGCGAACTTGTAGTACTTCACCAGAGTCTTGAATACGGGTCTCGGATAGACAACACACATCAATATTAAGACTTTCCAAAGACATAGCCAGCCCTATCTGTTGTCTGACCTGTATAAGTGTGAGAACGTTGAAGGCAGCCAGTTTGAATGGTGCACGTGGTTTCAGAAAAACTGCTTCAGTACTCATATTCGGTGGTAACATACAATTTTCAACCAGGCAGTGACTCGAGAACGTTTAGATAAAACTAAATTTTCACCATAGGCGAGCTGCTGTATAAGTCGAAACGGATACATAAAGTAGGAATAAGAGAGGGTGAATAAATGACGTGGTAGAGTAATAATAATAATAATAATAATAATACCAGTCATTTCAATGTTAGTCGGAGAGAAACGAATATTTTCTATAAGCAGATAGTTCATCATAGTTTTAGTGTGTGGGCTGAGATACTGCCCGGGTGCCCAAACCGAAGCAGGTGGTTTTCTTAGAGGGCCACACTTCGAGGGTCTAGACCACAAGGCAGTGGAGCATCGTGAGAAGATGCAGTCCCATGGAAGCCGGTGACCAAAGTTGGTTCATACGCCATTTGTTCCCGCAGGTTACTGGAGCCTATGTGCACCATTGAATTGGGATCCGGTTATAGCGCCGGACACTCGCTTTTCGTCCTCTCATTTTCGTAAACAACACCCCCGCCACGAGAAGGCAGTGAGTAGGACTTCCCTGGCAGAGGCTGTATACGCGTGGCCGTGTAAGAGTATTTCGAGAGGGAGGGCGAACCCTCCCCGCTCTCGGCCATACCAGGGCATTTGGGGGCACTTAAATGTTGGTAGAAGACTCATTTTAATTGGCTACATCATATGGTAACATATCCATCTGCCTATGAAAGAGCGTATCGAGCAGTTGACGCTATCTTAATTTATGTCTGGGAAACATGGTATCTGGAAGTAATGTGCGCATGTTAATAATTTTTGATCATCATTGTCTTCAAGCCATTGTTCTCCTGATTGATGCTCTTATAAATATATTGCTGGTTGAAGATGGCGAATCAGTTGGTGAGGTTATGAGTTTGCGTGAGCTGATGTTACGATATGTCTTAAACGTGCCTTCCTCGAAGCGCGACATTGACTAGCGTGGTAGAAGGCTGAGAGATGTGTAAGGACGGTTAAGCAAGGGCTTAAAATAAGTTAACGAATTCGATGACTGTTCTGAACCATATTTAACCGTGCAAGATCCCTGGTTAGGAAATACTTGATAGTTGGGGTGATAAGCTAAAGATCTCTAATGGAGCGTCTCAGAATCGGTTTCAGCTGCGCAAATGCATTTATTCTGTGTTTTTCTCTACAATTTTATATTTGATACTATCGCGTTCTTTCTATTATGAGAAATCCTCCTTTTTTCGAATTAAATTTTCTGTATTGATTTCACCTTGCTGTGGTAGAAACTATCATTCAACTCCTGCGGTATTTTTTTTCATCGGTATGCTAATGTTATTGTTTCACCATCAATTCTACCCATTTCATTTACACATATGCTTGGACGCTTATTTTGTGATTTGAGATATTTTTCTTTCGTTACTTTGTTCTAACAAAAGAGAGAAGATCATTTCGTTTGTTGTTTTCTGATAGCTGATTCAGTAATAATCTATGAACTTAATGTAATCTATGTTTAAATATTTGTCTAGTTATTGAAAGTGGTGAGAATAGCTGGGCAAGTTTAATTTGATGTACAAATGTTCTTACAGCTTGTATTTATAAATATATCCATCTCAACAAAATATGATTATCATAAGCAGACATTTCAGAGTGTTTATCTTTTTTCTGATTGGTCAATCATTTTTTGATTTCATCTGTCCACTGTTATATATTGCCTCACTTTTCATTGCTTCATCGTAAGGTTTTCAATATTTTTCGTGGTTAGTACTGGGCAATAGAACTAAAAACTAACCATCAATTATCAGTTTTATTCAATGTATTTTTTTGACAAGGTTAAATCTGGGCTAACAGTTAAACAGTTGAAAGAAATCAACCAGTTGTTAGGAAAACATTGGAAGGTGTACGACAAAAAACATCCTAATTCTAGTTCTACTGAATGGTTGTGTGTGAATTCTGAACGCCCAGATGTATGGATAACTCCACGATCGTCGCTTGTTTTACAGGTTAGTCATCGACTTTATCTCATACTTCATTCCTTCGGATTCATAAATTTGATAGTCACATAAAAGTATGTTTTTACTTAGTACTGAATACTAAAATCTGACATGTTTGTTTACTGTGATGTGCTAGATTAAAAGGGGTTGATTTATGAGCATTTTGATTTAAGCTTTTTCTTCATTAATTCATATCTTTCAGATATGAAGAGTTGAAGCAGAATCACACGGCGTATCACAATTTTGGTTCCGGTTGACATCAATTTTTTGAGCATCATTGTACTCAGTCTTAATGACTGTTGTTTTGTTTTCTCTACACTTTTAAACTGGATATTTTACTATGTTCTATACTAATAATTATTCGCTGTTTTTCTATCTATATTACAGTCTGTTAGTTTTAATATCTTAACAGTTAAGATCATGAGTCAATTGAAGCTAGACCACCATGATCTCATGATCTCAACTGTTGAAATTACTACAATCTCCACAAAACCCTTTCTGATTTTAATATCTTACTTGAAGAATTTCGACAAAACGGAAATGCACATACCTGTATGAGGGATTTCATTTTCTATAACCTTTGGCAACTAAACGTTTATAGTACTAACTCTTTGTGACCTGCTTCAAAACTTACAGCAGTTTAGATCACTTGAACTGCGTGCAGTTATTGGTTATTAGTACGAACCAATAGTTTAAACTCAGATAAAATTGCATTATCTAGTGCGTACGTAAAGTGGCAACTTAAAATTGCTGTATTAGAACGAATTACTTTTATCTGCTTCAAGACAGTCTGTTAATTTTTTAGCACTATATATATTAAAAAACTAATTTATTTAGTTGTAGTTTTGTGAAAATTCGGTTTAATTTCTAGGTTTAATTCGTTATGAACTGATCTCGGTTGAGGTTTCTATCAACAAAAAAAAGAGTTACTGGATAACTGTCTATGATAAATGCAACCTACAAATCTCCCAAAAAACCGTCCAACTAAACCACAATAGCAACTCACTAATGACTTCAAATATTTTTTGAATTTCTAGCAGAAGTCTTGACTAATGGAGTTCAGATATTCCGAAAGCAAAGCAGTTGTTACTGGCAGCATCGGATAATCGTCATGCTTGTCCATAAAGTGATTAAAGTCGGACATTAACCCAGTAGTCCCAATGGTTAAGCGTCCACTGTGAGACCTGAATATCCTGGGTTCGGTCTTCGGTGGGGTCGTGGGTCTGGATCCCTGTAAAGCCCCTTCCTAGGACGAAACAGTTGTTAAATATTCTTTGCTTTCCAGTCATATGTCAGGTGAGATCAATCTGTGACGAATACAAACTACTAATTTGCTCATGAAGATTTTTATAAATAACCCTAAATGTAAATAAAGTTAATCTACAGTTATTTTTTGTATTCAAATATATTTTATTGCTTATTTCAATCGACTACAGCTTCACGGAGCTGAGTTAATTCAGAGTGATTCATATTCTTGTGGAATGACTCTTCGATTTCCTCGTGTGGTGGCTATACGTTATGATAAAAATTGGCGTGATTCTCTGTCAATGAGTGAATTAATTAAGTTAAATACTGAGACAGAGGTATTTAATCCGAGTTGTGTGTAATTTTGTTAATGGTTCTATCTTTTTTTTTAAAAAAAATAAATGTTTCCTTGCTATGTCACATAATTGTTTCGTTCATATAGTTAATTGACTAATTTCAGCTTGTCCCACCATCTACGAAATTAACCGATATTCATTTCTTTCCGAAAGATTATTATTATTATTTATTTTAACACATAGGTATCGGTACAAGGAGGCACCAAATACATATGCGCCACACGAATCGCAATTGATTTGTGTGAGGGCTGTGATACTGCCCGGGTGCCCAAACCGAAGCAGGTGTTCCGAAAGATTCCTGTAAAGCATTTAGAAACAAAGTTTAAGCGAACATTCATTTTCAAGCATTTCCTTTCTAGACTACACAGTATAATGTGAATAAATCGATGAGTCCATCCTTAATTTGTTATGTCAGTCATGTCTTAGTTGAGAAAATGACATGCGATTCCATATTATATGAAAAATATGTATTATT